AGATTGTGATTTTCCCTGGAATGTAGCCAGTATTTTAATCTAATCTACACGGAAAAGCACCTCAGTTGTACCAAATACTCAACCTTAGATGTGTAAATTGACATTATCTTGACTCCACAGCTAGGGGCATGTTCGTAACTGCGACAGTGAAGTATTGGCGAATTGGATTGAGTGCAGAATTCGAAGACTAGGAAAATGATTTCACAAAAAAAATCGATTTATTTCCGCAATGCGTCAGTTCTTCAGTTCTGCAGTTCTTCAGATCTACACGTATCTACTCCTTTTTCAATTCCTCAGGCCTGCATTCCTTCAATCCGTCTATAATTCACTGTCGCAAGGTATGAATGCTATTATAGCCGACGACAGAAAGGGTATTTTTTTCTGTACATTAAACTTTTTGGGTCTCCCTTCTCATAACATCAATCTATTATAGCATTGTTTTGATAGCAAAATTGATTATTTATGGTTCTGGTTATTCATGTTATGTTATGGTAATTGGTTACTTATGTTTCTCAGGCACGGTCAAGAGATTTTGATCCATTCTACCACTTTACATTGAAAATAAAGAGCGTAGGAGAATCGCGTGAATGGGAGAGTCATGGAATGGAAAGAATGGAAGAAACCGCCAAAAGAAATGTGCATATCTAATCGTTGAGAATCGAGGAGTCAGAGATTTTCTGACTTTTCTGATCGATACACAGCTAAACTTTCTTGCGCATCGCCAATTCTCCGAATGCCGCGATTCGTCGATTCACCGATTTCTTTTTACTTTTGCAAGGTGTAACCGTTTACAGTATTGTTTGCTGCGGATGAAAGGGTGTGTTAGGCGAGATGGTTTGGCACGGTTCCAAACCCTTTTTAGTATTTGAAGCGAGCAAGGCTGTATCATATCGTTCGTATCAGTTGTTCCTTACCGATTAATGCCGTTTACCCGCTTCAACAACTGGTGGAGTACGTGTTTGGCATGCTAAACAAATCCCGCCCACGTGACACGCCTCTTCAACCGCAGCGAGAAAAACCGATGTTTCATCTTCTACAATGGGTTCGACTTGAAAAACAGTCGATCAAGTACAAGTGATCAGACCTTCATTGACAATCCGCGTCGACCCCGTTTTTTTTTTTTAACAATATAGTGCTAATACCAGTGCTAGGAGGCTCGTGCACCAAAGTAGTACCTTGATGGAGAATCTATTCGGGCTTCGTTGGCTGCGATTACTCACCGCATAAACGGCAAATCTTCTTGTAGGTATTCAACTTCATGCTTGAGAAACATGAGGGCAAACCCGAAAAGCGCCCATTTTTTTGCTGCAGAATCTATGAACTGGATTTGATCTAGGCCTTCAGAAGTGGCAGAGATGTGGTGATTAAGTGCTCGTGGCAGTATCAACTTAACGTTTCGGAAAGGAAACCATTTCGCCCAGAAAAGCACTTTCGCTTACCTTCACGATTTAATACTCACCGAAAAAAAATCGTCCGCTGGGGTTCTGGACCCGTAAAGCTTACATGCCTTCCTTGTGAATATGCGGTTGTAAGGAATTCGGAATATGTTCAAAATCGTTTTTACTTCACCCACCATTGGGTGCATTGTAACCAATGTGTCAATAAGCAATCAGTTACGATTGAAGAGAATGAACCATGGCTTGATGGATAATAAGTGACTTTTCAAAGGCTTACTTCGATAAACATCTATCAGAAAGCGAATTCATTTTAATTCTCTTTGTGGAAAATCGCGTGACAATGTCAGCATATATTATTACCATGGATTTCGCTTTGAAAACACGAGCGCTTCGACACAACAAATAAAAAGAAGGCGCATCATCATTGTTGTATTCCTCGTCTATTTTCGCCGCTAACAGCATCATGGGGCTAACGTGTTCTATCAATCCAATGCCGAGATCGAAGGCTTTCCAGGGAAGAAAAAAAATCAAGAATTCACGAAGAATACCTCAAGTAAGGACCCCTGGCAGCCTCACCGTGCGAGTTCTCGGGACCTGCTCGTTTTATGCCAGCAAAGCGATATCTCAATCGTGGCTCACTAGTCGTTTCTTGGCTTCATCCATTCTTCTACCATCTAACGAGCCTTTTATTTAGGTCTCAGTATGTCATTGCTTGAATGTGGCGTTCCGTAGTTCATCAGTGCTAGTTTTTCTTCGTGTGCTTTACACCGTCGTTCATGACATTTTTTTTCACTTTTCACTAAAAACCGAATTGCAGACTGAGAATGAGTCTTATGAAGAAATGTTGTAATTGTCGCTCGGATTTACCTGAAAGTAATGGAGCTGGGTATGTTCTATTAAATTGTTTTTCTGATGTAGAAATCTTATGAGCTGGGATTGCTTTTCCCTGTTCAAGTTGCACGCCTTCCGACGAAGCTACACTGTATTTATGATTTTCGGCTTTTTGAGAAGTACTCATTTGTTTCCTAGTTTTTTTCGAAAGCGCTGTTTGAAGTTTTCTTGCAAAACAACAGTGCACAAAATATATCATTTTTGAATTCGCAGACATTTTAGTATGTACACATTGGCATGGCTTCACGGAGAGTGAAGTAATATTAGAATGGCAAGGCTGGCCCAGCACTTATTTACGACATGCGTCCGAGCGGATTAAGCCCTAGCAAGTTAGCTCTCATAGCCCAACCGGAGTGATTCCCCTCTTGGCCGTTCAATTGACACCTCACACAGAGAGCAAAGACACAAGCCTTCTACTTCCGCCTGCACGGCACCCCCCCCCCCCCGAGTCATTGATACAGGCACTGTGCCGCCACAGACGCACAGCTCTGTTCAAACGGCACATTGAATGAACTATTGGTTGCACATAATACTTTCGTTTTTTTTCAAACGAAATTTCGTTCCAAAGATGAAATGTTTTTGTTAGCAAGCTTGATATCATCTGATAGGAAACTTCACGTAGTTTCAGAATATCAAAACGGCTTCGGTTGAGGGAATAATTTTTGTGGATTTTTTAGTCGTTGAAGTTGAAAGCGAAGTCGGCGAAAATTAGCACCTTCGACAACTGCCTCTATTTACGTATAGTCGAAGTGCTAAAATCGCTTAAGCTGCTCCATACATTTGGAAAAGGTCGAGCTAGAAGTTCCAGCAAGGGAATCTCACTAGGACGCTTTGGAACGAATTTCAAGAATTTTGAAGTTACCAACCTTCACCTCGCCGATATTGGGCAGCTCACGTCTGTTCCACCTGAAATTTTATGCTAATATTTGAATGTTTCGCTGATATGTTTTGCATGTTCTGATAGCAAATTTCGTGCTCTATAACACTGCTATAGAAATCTGTTCTCCAGAGGTGTTTGCTTTCTGTTAAGTTCAGGTTATCATTACGGAACGCGAAATTTGCCTTGAGTATAACTAGAACGTTCCCGTTAATCCACGCAAATTTTTATTCGTTACATTTGCAATGGTTTGTCGTTAATGTGTTCTAGTATGTTCTGCATAGCCAATTTTCCCAACTCAATATAACACTGCTTTGCCCAGTTTTTGAAAATTCGTTTGCATGCCTTGATTTTCAGGTGCGAGATAATATCGAGAATGTTCAGCCGTCGATAAGCATCAGCGCGTCAACATCTCCTCCTTTTCACATTCAAACAAGACGTATGCAGAGCTGCAGTTTGGCTATGCTGCTCCGGCAAATTCCACGCCGGAAGGTGTACGGAGGAAGATGCCCTTCTCTTCAAAGCAGCGCCCAAAATTTTTCAGAACGCCTCAGAATGCGGTACGGGATACTTTGGCTGGAATGCGAAAAAAGGAGGAGATGTCTGAAGTGCTGATGCTTATCGACCTGACATTCCATATTATCCACCTGAAAAGCAAGGTTCATCAAATGATTTTCAAAATAACTGCAACGCTTCACGTCGTATATTAGGGCACAGAATTGGCTATTCCAGAACGATACGTTAGAACAGCATTAGTGAAACATTCAATATTAGCCAAATAAAATTCGTGAATCTCCACGCACGAACGGGGAACGCATAAGCCTTCTCTCAACGATCTTCGCGTTCTCGCTAATGATAACCTGAACTTAACAGAAAGCAAACACCTCTGGAGAACAGATTTCTATAGCAGTGTTATAGAGCACGAAATTTGCTATCAGAACATGCAAAACATATCAGCGAAACATTCAAAATATTAGCATTTAAATATTATCGAGGTGGGAAGAGACACTACCTTCGTGAGCTGCCCAATATCGGCGAGGTGTTGAAGGTTGGCGTAACTTCAAAATTCTTGAAATTCGTTCCAAAGCGTCCTAGTGAGATTCCCTTGCTGGAACTTCTAGCTCGACCTTTTCCAAATGTATGGAGCAGCTTAAGCGATTTTAGCACTTCGACTATACGTAAATAGAGGCAGTTGTCGAAGGTGCTAATTTTCGCCGACTTCCTGTTCAACTTCAACGACTGGAAAAAAATCTACAAAAATTTCCTTCTCAACCGAAGGCTATGCTAACAACAAGAATCTTATATATCTTTGGTACGAAATTTTCCGTTTTGAAAAAAAACGAAACTACTTATGTGCCAACCAATAGAATCTAGTCAGTTATCCAGCGAGCGGACTGATCGTACACGAAAACTTTTCCTTATGCATTACAGTAAGAGTTTTCAATGAGGTTATTCCAAACCATTAATTATTAAACGCATCAAAAGTGTTTTTATTGCATTGCTATTATATCAATGATTCAACTTTATGATATCCAGTTTTAGGAGTTCGGTACAGTGCGAGAAATGTCAGAGAAATGAAGCAAAGTACGGAAAGGTTAGTGTTTTCCAAGATTTTTGTCCGCAAGCTTCTATAGTTTTCTTACATTCATGGAAATTTGTTCTTACATGGAACCTTGATTGTCAGTTATGATCCATCTGGTCGTGCTGATCTTTTGCATATGGTATGGCTGCGTTCAGACTCCGCGATGAGGCGTGACGACATCCCGCAACGTGAACCTAATTGTAGACTGGAATCGATTAGCGCAGGCCATTCGTGGTTAACAGAATATAGGATGACAGGAGGGTAGCGAGTCGCTGTACGGCCGGCGCCGCTCGATACCAGATAGTGTGGAGGCAGCGCCTATCCTCCTGTTATCCTTTACAAAAACACAAGCTGCTGGCGCCAATCTGTTTCCGGGTCTATAGCATTGGAGCGTCCTTGCAGTTTTAGCGCATTACAGTGCGTCGACGCGCGTAATTCCGGAGTCGAACGATGCCCAAGTGTCAGCGATTTGGGAATTTCGGTGCTCCTGGGGAATGCGCGAAGAGACACGTATGTTCAATGGTCCCCACGGAATGGAAGTTTCTCAGATTGATACATATGCTTTCCTGTTTTGCGCTTTTTGCGGCATCACTGATTTCACAGAGTCATGGTTCCCGTATTCTTCCAGATCAAGGGTTTTTTTACATTCGGAAATTTTCAAGGCCACCTAGGGCGCTCCTTTTGGATGAATTATATCATTTTTTTGCGCTTCGTTCTATAAACATCACAATAGCATAGTTTGAACCCGTTTGAAGCTATCTTTGAGATAAGTATTTTTCGGCCAGTAATATTTTCGGCGCTGATCGGCCAAGAGGGTGCATTTTATTAGTTTGCTAGTTTCTTTCGATAACTCCTTTCAAGTCCCGCGTTTAACCTTGCTTAAACCTGTAAACCCTCGAGCGCTCGTAGAGAGGAATCGATCGGCGTCAACCTCGCGCCTAAATCCTTGAAGTGCTGTTGCAATTGCAGCGCGTCGACGCGCAGTACAGCGTATTACAGCACGTCGTCGCGCGTTACAGCGTGCTGCAGCTGTCGACGCGCATCATGGCGAAGTCCAAAAGCTGCCTTACCTGTACTATTTGATATTTCAAAAAGGATTTCGCGACTTGTGCATAAACTACTTGCTTCAGCCGACAACGTGCAAGTTTTGTCAACTACCAGCTGCATTTCATGAGGAGAAGTGTGTTTATTGCTCTCATTCGGAACGCAAATTTGGAGCACCAATACCGTGTGCAAACTGTAAACTACGTGCAGCGTTTACGAAAGACCCCAAAAAGGTGATGTCCAGTCCTCACACTGTATTTCACTTCTGTTGCTGTTTTTACTGAAGTGCTGAATATGTAGTAATGTTGAAGCGCCTTCCTATTTTCAGACCAAACCGACATTGTGTCGCATGTGTGTTATACAAGCACGCGCCAACAAGCAGACAAATTTAGCAGGTGTTGCTGTTTCGTCTTCTGATACTCCTATCGGTCATAAGAGAAAAAAGGAAGAGAAGAAGAAGGTACATTTTTATCACATCAGAGGTGGGAGGGGTGCACCTGTAAACGCTTGTTAGCATACCAATTCCTGTGAACTACTCACATGAGAATACCGGACAACCTTATCAAGACCCTGTAAACTTCTGCCAAAGTTGTCAGTGTGGTTGTGATAGTTTACGACTGCGTTCATACTTGCGTCAGCATACGCCGCCGACTAAGAAAGAATGGATATGGATCCAGCGAACGCCAGCGTATGTCGGCGTACAGCAGCCTTTTGGAGGCAGTTTTGTTCATGCTTAACTGCCTGCGAAAACGTTGGCGTACGCTTACCTATACTTTCCTAGTCACGGGGGCTGGAAACACCGCCATGCTGACGCGAAGTATGAACGCAGTCTATCTTTTTAAGCGAGTCATGGTGTTCTAGTGACGTTACTACCATGTCATGGAGACGGGAAAGAGAATCGTAATTTGCCGCTCCGCCGCGCGCGGCGATGGGCGCGGCGTTTTCTTAACTCGTGTTAACCTGTCGATTGAGCACCGGACTTCATGTAGACCCCGTCATCGTAGACATTCATGACTATTTTCGGTTCTCGATTGCCAGTTCGCCATCTACATACTGAACCCAGTCGATCATTATGCTCGGTGAGAAGTCGCAATGCGACTGCCCATCCAGGCGCGTGAATTTACGATTCTCTTGTTACATACCCATGTCGTCAAGCCTGGATTTTACAGAGTTCTTGACAGGAGTTTTCAGGAATTGCAGGGTGAAACACGACTGTCTGGTATTCACATGTCTACACTTAACAATATCCAACAAAACTTGTATGCTGACATGATGTGCCCCCTTCCCCAAAGTTATTAGCTCAGGAATTGTCTGAAGAGTTATTTGTTCTCTTAACTTGAAGGCAGAAAAGACTGAAGTTCAAGTGGTCAAAGTGGCAAAACGTGATCCTTTTGCGGATTCTGGGGAAAATGTATTGTTGGTTCAACAGCTTCGTGACCAAATTTCCAAACTGAATTCAATCGTGGCCCAGAAGGATGCAGCTATGTTGGAAAAAGACAAAAAGGTTTGTGCCTGCTCTTGTTCTTCTTTTTTTAAGAAGGTGGCTGCGGCAGTTGTGCCTCATTTTTCATTTATGAACGAGGAAGTGGTTCACTGGTAAATGGCACGCTGTTCGGTAGTCGAGTCTCTGATCGGCGCTCATCCAGGCTCACCCAGACTTCCGATTCCACGGGGACAAATCGGTACCAGATTCGTCTGGGAGGGTAACAGCTGACCTCCGCAAGTCATTGTATAGGCCACATCGCATTCAATAAGCCACTACGATTCTGAAAAAGTAGAATGCGTGCCGCATCCCAAAAGGGATTGATCAACGGCGAAGACTTCGTGCTTTTTGAGTTTATCAAGTTCGGCTGTGAGCGCCAATATAAGGGGAGGGGGGAGAGGGCTTGGCCTTTTTGTCCTTCGAGACTGTCCCAGTGGACTGAGAAGAGGAATTCTTGGTGTTCCTCGAAGGGATAAGATGAGGGCTTAAACTTCAACCTTCAATCTCTCTCTCCCATCTACCGTGACACCACCTTTTCTTTAAAATCATTGGAAGTTTACAACTTCTCCAAACTCAGGGAAGAAGCTGCGGATGGGTGGTCCCAATCCGTTGCTTGGTTCCTGAATGGATCGGGTATACTGCTCAAATCCTTTAGGTTGCAATAGCGCCTAATAGTTGCGCAGGCCCTTTCAGGCTTTGTGTTTTTCGTTTTCCAAACTTCTTTGTATGCTGTGCTTCAGATAGCAACCCTAAAAGCGGATTTGATGAGTGCAGAAAGGAAACATCGAGAAAAAGTTGAGCAGCTTATGAAAGATCATGATGAAGCGATACAGAAGTTGATGGAACGACATCGTCAAGCATCATTGGCAGCAAAAGCTGTAAGTCTGTTTTGTCGAATCGATTGACTCCGCCTATTAGCGAATCGATGTTCTCCTAAATCGCGCACCTTCCTGAATGGCGATGAATTCTCCGATAAACGCTAGTCTGCAGGGCCAGTCCATTCCCATTTAATCCTTTGCCATCTATTCTCAGGAGTCGCTCATTCATTATGTTTACAGAGTATGGGCGCATCCTCATGAATATCGCCGCAAATGACATTGGAGGTGGGGGGGGGGACATTCCGCG